ACTTAAAATACCAATTGTGTACCGCGTTCAGTTTATATCGATATCTGTCTGTTTCCCGCCATTATGTCTCTACCAGCTGTTAAAAATAATTAATTTTGAGGAATTACTCAACACGATTTATATATTCTTTATTGATTTCGATATAATTATAGATTAACATAAAGTTTATTTTATAAATACAAATATTTTTAAACTACATTGAAACTTTTTTGCGATTGAAAAAAACTGAACCTTTTTTACGGTGAATTATTTGGATTAGAAAGAAGTCGTTTAAATACGCTTTTTATAAGATTGTTTTATGGGGATTTTCCTAAATTAATATAGTAATGATTAAGTTTTTCCATTTAGCAGAGAACTATGGTTAGTTTGACCAGTAGCAATTACACGGGTAAACCCTCGTAGTAATAAGGTTCATATAAAGTGTCTAACTTCGTTACTCACCGTATCTTCTAATTTAATCTCTGTCAGAAATAAGTCAAATATTAATTCTGTTTACATATTAGTAATATTTCTAATGTTTTTATTCCAGTTCTTTCAATTCCAAGACGCTGAAGCTGCCTTAACAACTGGTAACGAAGTCAATGACGACGGACGAGTTTCTCAACTATCAAATATTAATTTAGAAGAATTGGTGATATCCAGTAAGGAAAGTTCTAAAGTAAACTCACCACGAGGTTCGATACGTAAAGATTGGTCAAGAACATCATCAACACACGTCAAAGAAGAAAGAAAATCTAAGCCTGTGAAGAGTGTTAACTTTATAAAACCTATAATTCTAGTCAATGACAAACCACCAGAAGATCTAGACCAAAAATGGTCACAAATAGTACAGAATATAACAAATAACGACAAATTGAAAGGATTTTCAACTCGAAGAAGATATAAAAGGAAATTCTGTAGAAGAAGACGGAATGCAGCATTTAAAAGATCTTATAGCATCGGTTAAAATTATTTTGTGAAAGGAAAAATTGTTAAATAATATATTGAATGACTGTAGATCAATTAGTAAAGGATGAAACTGCTTTTGTATGCGTTTCACAAACTGCTTCTTAATATTGTAAATACATTTAAATAAAGACTTAGAAGTCATAGAGTTACGAATAGTAAAAATAGAACCGACTTCACCCTTTTGAAATAATCAAAACATACCACATATATAAAGACACATTAGCATAGGTGAATTAAACAGTTTATAAAATAGCTATATTTTGAAACACATCTAGATTTGAACGCATTACTAACGC